CGTATATATATGTATATTAAGGAGGTGTATATATACGTATAAACAAATATTTTATATATTTATACATCTATATATGTATAAATATAGATATATTTTGTGTTTATATATTTTTATATATACAAATATTATGTGTGTGTATATACACATATATGTATACGAATAAGTGTATATATATATATTAACCATATACATATATATAACAAATATATATATATATATATATATATATGAATTTGAATATGTATATATATTAATGTTATATGATATCAGAAGTTTAACTTGGAGGAGTTGGAAGAGTTCTAATTAGAACTCTAGGGTTAAGGAGGATTGAGCTGGAGCAGTGGAAGGATGGGTGACCTACTGGGAAGTGAGTTTCGGGATCGTGGTTTGGTTGGATCGGGTCGGTGTCGGTGAAATCCGTTGGAAAATTCCAACGGATGCCGGTTGGAAATCCGTTGGAAATTTCCAACGGAAAAATTCGTTGCAATTCCGTTGAAAATTCCAACGGTTTTCCAACGGACACTGATTTCTAACGATGAAATTCCAACGGATAAATCCGTTGGAAATCCGTTGGAAACGTTAATTTCCAACGGATTTACCCGTTGGAAATAACCATTTTTTTTGTAGTGGACGTTGCCGAAGATGAGAAGTTGTCGGTCGACATGATGAGAAAAAGAGAGGATCACAAAGGAAGAGGTGAGTGACGATGGCTAAGGTTTCGGAAAAAAAAAATGTCGTTAGACAAGAAGCTCTGATACCATGAAAATATAAACGTTCGAATGAATATTATTCAACAGATTGTACACATATATATACTCGTACAAGTATGCTTTGAAGTTTGCATACCATGATATTTACAAATATCATAAATATGAAGAAGATATTCCCTAGAGAAAGAATGTTGTTCTCATGACGTGAAAGTCACAACCATCATAAATATGGCCTAACAGTATTATGTTAATGGATGAAGTCGGGGATTCTTATTGCGGTTATGTTTTAATATGTTTATTTCTTTATCTTGCTATTAGATTAAAAAAAAATGTATTTATTTTATTGGGAGATTATATTTGGATTGCAATAAGATTTTATTTTCATTTAAAAATATTCAATTTTAAATTAAATTTCTATTATCTTTCATTTTTTTTATTCCATTCAGTTTTATTAGATTTTATTGGATTCAAATACAACTATGTGTTATTCATCTTAATTTAGTTTTACATATTCAATCATTACCATTTTAATTGAGAGAGCTAAAGTGCTAAACATTAAGCGCATATATATATATATATATATATTGGAAAATCGTCAAAAAATCTATACTCTTCGACAAAAAAACATTATACTATATTTATTAAAAAAAAACTCTATTCTTATATTTATTCGTTGAAATATACATTTACTATTCAGATGTAAGACAAAAAACTCTATACTTTTTTATAACCAAACAACCTCTATACTTATACTTGTTAGACGAAATATACATGTACTTTATAAATGATAGCAAATAAGTCTCTAAACGCAAACGCCAAAAAAATACGATAAAAAATTTGTCTGAACCTAATCCAACGATATATACCCGAACCGATTAAAATAGCATACCATAACGGATATAAATATTCCAAATCCAAAATAACCGAATTCGAAATAATTAAAATAATATATCAGATTGAATATGAATATTTCATATTCGAATGAATCCAATATCATTATATTTAATTTTTCTAATTAAAATTAGAATATATTGGATATTACTTGATGATATATAGGTAGATAAACAGTTATATTCGGTTACGATTAATTCGAGTTCGGTTTACTCATTTTACAGTTATTTCGGGTTTGAAATATTCATATCCAATCTGATATATTTTTTTAATCAGTTCGATTCAATTCGGGTGTATATCGGTTGAGTTAGGTTCGAACAGATTTTTGACCGCGTTTTTTTTTGCGTTTGCGTTTAGGGCTTATTTTCTAGAATTTATAAAATACAGGTATATAAATATAAGTATAGAGTTTGTTTGGTTATAAAAAAAATACATAATTTTTTGTCTTAAAGTACATGTATATTTGGACGAATAAATATAAATATAAAATTTTTTGTAATAAAAAAGTACAAGATTTTTTTTTTTCAACATCTCTAATGAATACAAACTTTTTTTGGTGATTTTTCATATATATATATATATATATATATATATATATACATATATAATTGAAAAGATGAGAGAGAGAGGGGTTTCGTCAGATGGGTTCAGTTCATTTTGCAGACTTTCCTCCTGTCTGAAAAGAAGACACACGCGGAAAGCTTTATTTTTCAGATTCATCCACTTGCCCCACCTCCTCCTCCTCCTTTTTTCAGCCAACAAAACAAAAACATTACAATTTCTTTTCACGCTTTTATCAGAAATGATATTTTTTTTTCTGAAATAAATCATTTTTTTAAGGTGCAGAAACTGTAAGAGAGCAGCAGAAACTGTGTTGAAAACTTCAACCACGCTGACACACACGCACTCTTTCTGACACAAGAGTCCTCTCTTTCTGCAGTCCAAAACCTCTTTTCCATTAACAATGGAATTAACATGAAACAACCCAGAATTCATTCTAAGAGATATCTAAGCTTCGGATCTTAAACTGTGAATTGAATCAAGAGATTGACAAATGAAATCTGAAAACTAGAGTTACAACATACACAGACCTCCTTTATTGTACGAAGACCTTACTCACTCGGCCTCCTCGTCATCCAAGTTAGCATCATCTCCTCTGTTGTCGTTGTCGTTGTCTCCACCATCGCTGTCTTGCTTTGCGGGAGAATCGTCTCTTGCAGGGCTTGAGTACGGCTGCCTCTCAGTTGGTTCATCTTCATCATCTGATGAAAGTGCCCGTCTTCGTCGGGAAGCAGTCGTTGAAGGAATAACCTTATACCCATCAGAAAAAGACATGCCCTCAGATTAGAATCATGGGTTAAATCCACTTTTTTAAGAAGGCATTGGATTCTTAAAGGCAATTGAAACAAGATTCCAGCAAATGCATTACCTCATCATCGTCAACATCATCTTCAAGCCCAGCAGCTGTGAGGAGGTCATGAGCATCATCTTCTGCTGCTGGTTCCTCAGCTTCTTGATTCATCTCATTTGCCTCTTCCCTATAATTTGTGTTAGGGTCTTCATCTTCCAGTTCGTTGTAATCATCATTCGCAGCTTCTTCGTCATCCTCGTAGTGTTGCCTAGAACTCCTGTCCTTCTTTCTTCTCTTTCCGCCTTTTCTTCTTCTCCTCTCACTCTGCCTACCTTCTCCATCATCAGACTCAACTCTCTCCTTCCGCTTATGATGAGAGGAGTGTGTGGTGCTCTTCCATTGTTCCTGAAGGCATTACAAATCGAACTCATTACCTATGTAACCAACTCTAAAGATAATAATATGGATCACAATTTTCTACTCTAGAGTTACACAACAACGAACCAATAACCTATAGCCATGAAAAAAAAAATGCCTGAGGTAGTCAAGAAACCTCTGTCTCCACATCCTTATAGAGCATGAGACTTCCTTATGGGAAAATGCCTACCTTTACACGTTGAAACTTTTCCTCCTCTTGCTTGAGGCGCCTAAGCTCATCCTCCTGTTTTCGTTTTTCCAGCTGTTAAAGAGAGAAACATTAAACAAATCACAGTTGAAAATCTGGCATTTAACATCGTCCAAAATAGGTCATAGATGCCTACCTAGGGCTATTTGGCAAGTGTTATAACTTATTAGTACCTGATATTTCCTTTGTTCTTCAGCCTTACGGCGTGCTTCCTCAGCCAAAGCAGCCTGACGAGCAACTTCTAGCCTTTGCCGGTTCTGCAGCTCCTCACGCTCAGCTGCTTCACGGTGCACTTTTGCAGCCTCAAGTAAGTGTGAGCAATACTGGACATGGGTTTGAATTTTCTTCGTATCAAAACCATGAACATGGAGGTCTGAAGCACCAGACAACTGAGTAAAGACACGAACAGCATTCTCTGCCTCTGCAACTGTTGAGCGCACCTGTAGAAATCACCAAGTAGATTCCCTTGTCAAGTACAGATCAATAAGAGCCACAGTAGAACAAATAAATATATTAGCTCAACACGTCAAATAATAGGTCCAGAAGCTAAGGAAGGCAACGGCGAGAATGACCATCTTAACACCCTAGGTCCTGGCGTAAAGTTCTTATACACAAGTGAAACCAGCCTCATAATATGGTCAGCGTGTTTCTTTCTTCAACATATGATATATGTTCATGTTAAGAATGAACAACTCTACTTCGGTCAGAAAAAAGTAAGATGAAATCCAGTGGCACAGAAAATGAGATGAAAGTTTCAGATTGACAACCTCATCCGCTGTTCTCTTTTTCTTTTGCAGGGTGGAAGATGAAGATTTCTGCATTACAGCGCCTAAATCAAACCTGAATGTGTAATTTGATGGTGCCAAGTGAATGGCTCTCAATAGTGTCTTCTTGCACTCTTGCCATTGCTCAGCTTCATAATGGGTACGGGCTAAGTAAAGAAGAATTTGAGAGTCTGTGTTGTAAAAGAACTTCCGCAAGCAGTTTTGATACTGCAAAATGTTTTATAGACAGCGTACATCAGTAACAGGTAAAGTGAAACGAATGAAAAAACTAAAAAACAGATTAAAGATGACAAACCATTTTCACGGCTAAGGCAAAATTCCCTTGAGCAAAGAAGACATGAGCCAGATTCACCCACACATCTGGCATTTGAACAAATACACTTCCGCTTGCAGCTTCTTGAATCTAAAACACTCTCAATTGTTGCAATGATTTAATGATCTGAAGAATTTGATTAATCTAAACCATGAAATAGTAAATCATCAAGCTGACCTGAGTAAAAAGATCCTTTGCAATATCAAAATGGCCTTTCTCTGCCAATACAATTCCAGCGCCGTTGGCAGCATACATGTTGGACTTATGTTGAACCAGGACCTGTTGATACAAAGAAACGCCAACGTGGAAAATTATTAGCCTCACAAGGAGAACAGTGCTACTAAACCATGCTGATTAATTAGCGATGACAGCTTAGAGAATGTAAACCTTAGTTCTTTTGCATCAAGACATAACCCAAATAAACAATATGTGACTTGCTTTTCAGAAACCACTTCTCAAAATAACATAATCTAGCTAGTAATAAAGAATACAAGAAACTAAGACATTGTACACAAAAAGCCATGCTAATAGTTTACTTAGAAACCTCATGGCTTTAAGAAGATAAACAGAAGATTGTCGAGTTACCGTTTATGAGAAGGGAGAAAGTAAGTTCATCTACGGAAAAATATTGTCAAGTAACACTTATGGAAGTAAGAAAAGAAGAGAAATAGAGTTCATACTTTAGAATAGAGTTCCTTAGCTTTCTCCAAATGTGTAGCTTCCAGTTTAGGATTTCTTTTCTCATTGCGCATCGCTGCAAAATAGTTCCAGTTCCCCTAACCAACAGGAAGCCATTTCAACGAAAATACATCTGTGATATTGTAAAACCACTGTCGGCCAGCGGCAACGATTACGAAAAACCATTCAAATTGTTAACATCATGTGCCTTAAGCCTCCCAAAACAGGATTTGATAAGATGCTGAAATTATGAATTTGCAAGGTAATATAGAAAATGAAAATGCATATATATACCAAAGAAAGAATAGCATATGAATCCTTTCCGTCGGTTGCATCACTAGCAGCTCGGAAAGTTTCCTTTGCTTTAACCCAGTCATCATTCTTAAGCTCCAAGCTGCCAAGCATAGATAGTGAATTTGGATTTTTATCGTCCACCTTCAAAGCCTCATTCACCTATATGGCAAAACAGTCAGAAACGAAAAGAAAATGATCTAGACCCAGAAAAATAAAGAGTGAAAAGGGTGTAAGCACCAGTTCGATGGCCAGTGGAAAATTGTTCCGAGCTTTTGCAATTGCAGCAAGTCTCAAATAAGCATCAACATAGCCAGGATACTGCAAAGACATTGGCAGGCGGATCAAGGCAGCAGTTATTGAAAAACATAGACCCGATGCTTAAAAAATAATCAATAAAATGAGAGAGCAGGACTGACAAGTAACAAAGAAGATTGTAAACATCTCTAGGGACTAGAGAAAAGAAAAGGAAGATAATGGCGCACAACAAAAATCCTAAAATGATGTGCGACTAAGGCAATTTTGTTAACTAACTAAAAAGTTTGAAATCATGTAACACTATTGTAACCCAGGAAGTCATGCTGCCACTTGAATGTAAAAGTTACATTTTATCTGATTCAGAATAAGAACAAAATAATAAGCACATAAAGGATGTTAAGGAGTTTAAGCAGAGAAGTAAACTTGACGCCCATGCTATCGACTCGCACTGAACTCAACTCAAACGCCTAACGTCCAGCAAAATTATTATCAGATACAGAATGATGCAAAAAAACCCTCCCAAATATTCGCAACCCTAGTCTCTGATTGCTTTCTAAGCAGGAATCTCATCACACACAAAAATGTAGAATATAACATGGAAGAAGTAGAAGACATACCTTGAAGAGTATCAACCGATACAACAAACTTGCAGTTTCTGTTTTGTGTAACTGCTCAAGTAACTTGGCTAGGTTAAATAAAGTTGTGACCTTATTCCAAGGTACATCAACAGAGTGCCCACTTTCATTTAATCTATGGAAAATGCCAGAATCTTTGTACTCAAGAACTGATACTCCAATCTGATCTAAATTTACTTTTCCATCAAGTAAATTAAGCCATATCCCATCGCCCAAAGCCTCCTTGAAATTATGGAGAGCAGACTGCAAGTACCAGCAAATATGAAGAGCATATTGAATCCAACAGCCAAAATATTAGTTCAAAACGTAAAGGCGGTAACGACATAGGAGAAAGAAATTCTTTAGTTGAACCTCAAATTCTTCCCTCTCAAAATGTAAAACACCAATATCATTCAGGACTTCTATAGGAATTTCTTGACCTCCCTTTTTCATGAGTGTACATGCCTGATACAAATTTTGGGAAATGCAATCACGCACCAGAACCATCATATGAGAGATGAATGAAGTATAGAACTGAGAGCTAAGAAAGAACTTACAGTTTTGAAGGCGTCAAGCGCAGCTCCAGTGTCAGATGATATCAACAACTCCCCAAGATCAACAAATGCCTGCAGGAACGATGTGTTGTTTAAACAAAGCCAAAACTATATACAGTAAAAAAAGTGTAAAGGAGAAGCATTCAAAGGGTCTTTTTCAATTTATGAGCAAGAACTAAAATCATCTCTTGCTACTATGTCCACTCTGCATATGCAAATTTGACCTGTTAATGTCATAAGTTTAGGCAGCAGAAACGACAGAAATTTCAGATGAAACACATACCAAGAACATTTTCAGACAGAGATTTATTACCAAAGAAATCATGCATGAATCCAAGTTTCAAATGATCAGACATAAGAATTGCGGAAAACCAAACTTACCTGGGCATCTCGTGGATCAAGTTTTGTAGCTTTCCGTGTTAATTCCAGGGCCTTATCAGTTTGCCCAAGCTGGGTGTGTATGTGCCCTAGAGCCTAAAGAACAAATGATTATACATGCAGATATACATCCATATATAAAAGAGACAGCATGTAACTTAAACTGAAATTTCCCAAATTTAAAATATCAGCAACGCGTAAGCCTGCACTCATCCCACCTTCAGGGTCTCACAATTGTCAGGATAAACTTCTAAAACTTTCTCAAAGTTGGAAAGTGCTCCTTTAAGTTCACCTAACTTCAACTGTACTTGCCCCAAACCTGAAAAACCATTATGAACCATACATTTAAAAATAGCAGCACAGCAAGTCATGCAGTAACTCAGGTAAAAGGAAACTGAAAACCGCAGCACCAGTTAAAGTAGTTCAGAAATACTCACGATCACATGTTTACAGACAGGAAAGATACTGACAGACTTCATAATATTAGGTATTCCAACTGGTTGAAAGGGAAGTGAAATAAAGAGAGTAAAGTATCTACTTTGCTAAAAGATGCAGGTGGAAATATACAAGTAAAATGGTCATTCACAACAAGAGAATCCGGATGTTTAAGCATGGCATTTTGAAGAGAATTACCAAAGTAGGGAAACACGAATTCCTGTGGTTTATTATTAGTTTCCTTGATGGCTGCCATATAGTACATTCCTGCCTTTTCATAGTCCCCCTACAACCAACCTCATCCAATGTTAGAGATGTTGGAAGTATACGCCATGTTAATAACAAAAAGAGGAATTTTCTAAAACTAGTGTTAGAGGAAATAGTAATCTGTTGAATCATTCTTCATCATAGGGTAATGAAAAACACTTAACATATGACCCTCTCAATCAAAATTCTTGAGCAGGCCTTTTGTCAAAAAAATTCTTCAGTACCTTAAAGCACGTGAGATCAAATATTTCTGGCAGAACCCTACAGTACACTAGATCACATAACAAACTTAATCACATATATAAATCTTCAACCACAACTATTATCAGTCCATCTTCTGCTTTCAATACTTGTTTTTGATAAAGTAAGCCTATCCTAGGTAAGAAACTAAATTAAAAACATCATCCAAATAAAAAGAATTTCTAACCTTGCTGTGGTACGACCGTGCCAAATTGTAAAAAGAATGCGACTTTGTCGGCCCATGAGTTGAGACAGCTAAGGCCGTTTCAGTAAGCTGCTCAACAAGAAAGTGCTGGCCCGTGAAGAAAAAATGGTTGGCCAAGTAATTTAATGCAGTTGCGCAATAGGGATATATCTCAAAAGCTTGCTGCATTTTCTCCATCCCTTTCCTCATTCCTGAAGCTGAACACATATGAAACAGCATCGGGATCACGGGGAAAATAATTACGGGGTCATTTGGAAGTGAAATAAACGAGAGCCTCATTTGGAACTAAGGATTTTGCTTACCATCATTAGCTTGCAAATCCATGATCCCCAGAGCCACGAGAGCCTCACCGTTATCAGGATCTAACTGCACATATAAAATATGGTAAGCACCTTTATCTATAGAATACTTTACTGTATACATTAGACCATATGATAGAAGGTATAAGAGGTAAACATCCAGTCCTACTTGCCTGCAGAACACGCTGGAAAGCTTGTCGTGCTTTTTCAAGTTGCCCCAACTTATAACGACAAAGACCAATGCCAAGTCGTACAGCTGCAGGACATCCAGGATACACTTGCAGGACCCTCTTAAGATAATCATAGATAGATAAACAAATAAGATTATGTTTTTACTCCATAAACAGATTGAGTTGTTGATAGAAGTAAAGAAACCGAATTTAAATCCCAAATGTTGAATAAAGATATAAAAGTGGTTATCAAGACTACAGAACTAATTGAAAAGTCTACCTTGTACAATTGCAATGACTCGGAAAACCTTCCACGATTAAATTCCACAGAAGCCTGTTCGATAAATATAACAGTTACTCACATCAATGTAGAGAATAAGAAAAACAGAGTGCCTGGTAAGAGAGAAAACATAAAAGGCAAATTTATCCTGACAATTGATATTACCAGCCAAAATGACTTCACATTGGGCAGAGGGAAGGAAGGAGGGAAAGAAAATAATCAATCATACTATTAATTTCCTAAGCTTTCGTTCGTAAGTACCATTATGCTCCAAAAAGCTAGGAAATACTAGATTTATTTTCCTTTGCCCAAGAATCAAAAAGAATTTCTACATATGAACCTATGGTTCATTTACATTCTCTTGGAGATGCGAAATGAAAGCAATCATAAATATACCTGACCCAGAAGAGCCGGAACATTATCAGGAGCTCCATCCAATACAATCCTGAATGCCTGAAGGGCATTATCGATTTCACCTTTTGCCAGTAAGAGCTGACCTGTAAACAACCAATCATTTCATATTAAGTATTTATCTTAAGCAAACCTTGTAGAACCACCCAAATTACATATAGAGGTTTCCGTCAGATAACATGGTAACCAAGGACACATTGCACACCAGAAGCGAAGGTAGAAAAATACAGAAATGTTTAGCTTATCAAATCATGAGTTTCAACAAGATGAAAACAATTATACAGGTCATGCGACAGAATACTATTTTCACAAAAGAAAAGAGTCCTTGATGGCCATGCTGTATATTTACAATTATGCAAGACTAACAAAGAGCGTCTGGTAGTGATCACCTTTCCCAATCCAAGTAGATGGTTCATGCATATCAATTCTTGATGCTTTGTTGTAATATTGTGTTGCCAGGATGAAATGTTCCTCCTTTTCTCTGTGTTTTGTCTCAATTTTACCCAGGTAGCTGTAATAGGCACCTAGGGCATTCAAGATTGCTATTCTTTCGTACTTTACATCAGCATAGTACTCATCAATTTCTGGTCAATAACAAAAAAAGAGCTTTTAGAATGGTTAACACATTGAAACCAATATCCCGAACAGATAAAGAAACAGCCACGAATGATCGTGGCATTGAAAGGCCGTAGCGAACCAAAAAAAGCTAGGCATACCAGAACTTGACCCTTCCTCCAATATTTGGCGGAACTGCTCAAGTTTTCCTTGCTTGAAGTACTCCCGCTTTACCCAACAAATTCAAGAGATAATGAAGCCAAATTCAGAAAAAATGAAAACCGCATTCGTTAAACTTTAAGAATAGAAGAGCTCCCAAGATTCATATGCCGCAAAATCTGAAGAGAGAAGACCAGAAAACAGAAACACTACCCCACCCCACTACACCAATTCGCAACAAAAAATCTGAAGAACAACCGTGATTCACCCAATAGTCATCCATACTTGATATCACAAACTTAAATTCGAGAAGTCACCCAATACTAATCTGAAGTTGATATGACAAACCCGAATTCTCGAGCTAATTAACCAGTTATGTAGCTAAGCTTTGCTTCTAGGATTCTTTCCC